AGACAAGGATATAATATATATGTTCCCACAAAAACTGCTGCAAGAGCAGGCAACATTTCCCTCCCTTCTGTTTCTTTTTTCTTTTCCTTTCCTTCTAGACTAACGAAAAAAAACAGCCGAAACACGGAAGAAAAATAGAGAGAAACCTATCGAAGAGTAATCAGCGATGCAGTGTACGGAAGAAAAAAAGAGAGAAACCAAGCGAAGAGTAATCAGCGATGCAGTGTGCGGGCGACATCTCTGTACGACACTAATTGGACAGACCAAATCGCCTCCGCCTACCCCCGAGCAAAAGGCAGCCGCACGATGGCTGTACATCCCTAGCGAGAGAGGCTCAGAGAGCTTAAGATTCAGATCCATGATCAGACTGCATTGGCTTTGAGAGAAGACGGCCCGGAGCTCGCTAAGAACTCTACCAACAGCAGCGATAAAAAAGGACGTCCTCAATAAAGGGAAAACGTGGAGAGACGGAATAGCAAACGACATATCTACAAGGATGATTCACTAAAGGCGGAGAGCAGCAGGATTACCAAACACAGGCATATTTGGGGACGTACTTCAAACCACTATACCTGTCTCTTATACACATCTAGATGTGTATAAGAGACAGATCAACCGATGTCTCACGGACGCACACCACGACGGTCAGCCCTGCCAGCACGAAAGGCCCTGCCGCGATCCCGATGTCCTCGTGGGACGCATTCCGCTCCGGAAAGCARTGGACKCASCTCCCTGCTACGACCACCGGGGTGGAGAACCCTCTCACCCTCTYCCAACCTGCAGCTCCGRCTTTGCAKATTGGACAAACGTTAAGTCCAACCTTCCACGATGATTTGCATGCCGGGTAAACACGTCCAAAGCGATCTTTCGTCGTTGAGATAATCACCTCACACACGTCATCGGCGTCGGCAAGAGCGGAGTTCAGGCCGCTCGCAATATCACCAAGTGGCTTAAGGAAACACGATCGACACCAACCCGTAGGACTCGAGACCCCGATAACTGTGAACTTGCGTGTCGCAAGCGAAACCTTAAGCTTCCTCATCCTAGAACGAAAATGGGGAACAGGTGGGGGACTACCACTCAACGTCCCCAGCCAAGCCTTCACGTCTGACAGTTGATTCATGACGTTATGCACTTTGCGCCTCAGCTTAAAGAGGCTTCGATGAACGAACTCTGAAGCGTACGCGTGCAGCTCATTCCAAGCCTCTTTCCTCCTCTTCCTATCCTCCTCCCAGGTTTTGTACTCTGCCATGTCTTTCTGGATCGCCGAGATCTCCTCGCTCGTGAGATGCCGACAGCACGCAGCGTTGATCACAACGTCCACTTTTTTGGCTGAGAACCAGCTGCGGGCTACTGCGGACACAACTCCGTTCTTGTCCATCTTCACAGTCATTTCGGCCCACCTGTCCGCCGTAGCAAGTTCGAAGCCCGTCAATGTCACCGGGCAAGAGTTCGCCAATCCCTCCTGCATGTAGCAGTGAGCCGCTCCCTCCAACGGCTGGCATGGAACATAAAATCGCGGCCCTCGACAGGGCAAGATCTCCACGCTAGAAATAACACAGGTCGTCTCCGGGGAAAACGGCAACAGAAGGCTGACAGACCTTGAAGAGATGTCCATCACATTCGGCAAAGTGGCAGGAGAAGAGCCTGCTGAAGATGGTCCCTCTCTTTCCAAAGTCCACGCTTGGAGTGCAGCGCCGCACGCAACAACCTCATCTACTTCTCTGCATAACTTCTTCTCACTAAATATTTTCTTAAAATAGTTAGCTATGGCGGTCATCCTAGTTGCTTTGCCTGCGAGAACTACTTTGTCAATGCCCTCCGGCAGGTATCGAGCAGAGCACATCACCCTATCGACGACAGAAGTGCACTTTAGGAGAAGATAAGACGTCCACTTCTCAAAATCTTCCCTTCTAATCGGAATCTTGGTCGCCTGACTGTCACAGAGGTAATGCGGCTCTACACATGCAGCTTCCCTACGAGAGAGATCGGATTTTATCTTCTCTGCCAGCGTCCTCAGCTTTCCGAGACACCGACGACTGTTGTCCACTCCAGGGATGCGGCTCCAGAGATGATGAATCAGGCGATCACTGAAGTCTTTCCCCCCTACGCTCATGTTGCTCTCCACGGCTATTACCCGGAACGTTTCCCCTGCCACTTGCACTATACACGCCTCACAGAATCCCGCACCGAGGGAGAAGACTAAAACCGTCTTCAGCCGACTGCTTTCTTCGGTGAGCCTTCCAGTCCAACGGCTGCTGCCCAATGCAGCAGCCGTCGGCTCGCTCATCAACTGCAGGATGTTCAGGCCGGCTATGTTCGCTGCCTGCAGAGTGGCTTGTCGCTGACTCTGATTGAAGCCAGCAGGAACGGAAATGACGGCGCGATGGACAAGGGAGCCGATATACTTCTCAGCGTCCGCTTTCAGCTTGCTCAGCAGGATGGCAGTCAGGTGCTCGGGGCTATACCTCCGCTCCTCCTCTTTCTCTTTGATCATCACCATAGCCTCGCCTCGTGGGCCACGTGTCGCAAGGAACGGAGCTGTCTGAATCTCATGTGCAACGCCTGGCCTGTCGAGGGATCTTCCTAACATCCTCTTCATTCCGAAGATAAACCACTCTGGATCCTGATACTCAACCATATCTTCACAGTTGCCCACGAGCCTCTCCCCATGCTCGAAACCAATCACGGACGGCACCAGCCTCTTGTCGTCGATCATTATGACCTCGGCGTGATCTCTTTTCCATACGGCCACGCAACTGTTGTACGTACCCAGATCGATGCCGATCGACGGGGGTAGACCGTGACTCACACCCTTCTCTGTCTTCAGCGTAACCATCACTAAGGATTGAGAAAAGAAGAGAGGGATGATCAAGGAGAGCGAAGATGAGCGAGAGGGTTCGCAGCTAACTGATATTTAAAACATGTATACTTTCAGCGAACGTACAAGCAGGCTTGAGATAATGAGGAGGAGGAACTCGACGCCTCAAAAGCGTGTCAAAGGCCGTTTTTTCCCCTCCCTTTTCTCAGCAGGTCTCGCTGGTTCATCGCTTGCCGTCGGATGAGCAGCTCTCTCGTTTCCGGACGTTCCCTGCACGCTGCTGCACTGCCAAGCCAAAACAACAATCTACTGTCAGCCAACCTTTCACTTCGTTTTTTTTTTTTTTGTTTGTTATTATTGTTGTTGCTCTTGCTGCTGTTCATGTCATTGTGGTTGATGTCTGATGAATCGAACGGTAAAAAGCAGCAGGAGTATGCACTCTGAATCCAAAAAAAAAAAAAAAAAAAAAAAAATAGCAGGAGTAGCAGCTATTCGTGCTAAACGAGAAGGCCATGGTTTTGCGAGGTGGCAAGCATACACTCATGTATTGAAAGACATTGTGCACCCTCGCATTGTGTGCTGGCAGTGTAATTTTGTGCGCGTTTCCTGGTTGGATGGCAACAAGGCAAGCACGCTATTGACGGTGATGACGGTCTAACTGTGTACTTCTGTGCACGTGTTTTAGTTTGATGAAACAACTCCCGTAAGTGTTTTCTCTATCCGCTTTGCTGATGATGAAACAACGACCACGAGGACCACGACAACCACAGCAACAATGACAAGAACGACAATAAGGACAACAACGACAACCTTGGGTGATACGCTATGGATCATCATCAGAAAGTCTAGTTTTCTGTCTGCTCGAGGATTTGATGTTCATTTTTTTGGGAATCGACATACCGCAGTAATACTGGTTCTCAGCCCGTCTAATTACTGGTGCTACACGGAATGGGCATAGTTTTTTTTTCCTTGAATAGTCAGTCCGTTAATTAGTCGTGCTGCACGGGATTACCATATGAGTGCTTCTGTATGTCCAACCAATCAACATGACGATCGCGAACGAAATAGCCAAAAAGATGATGGCTATAGCATAGCCATTATCAATCTATTGCGACTCCCGCCGTCTGTACTGAGGACATAGTTAATAAGGTTTGCAGTTATACTGAACGCGTGCACACCCAATGCTGTGAGGACAACCAGATTGATGTGTGAGTACGAATGAAAAGGCGAGGAAACATTTTGATCCACTTAGATGCCATTTTCACGTTTTGTCTTCTGTATCCGTATTCTATCCGTACTCTTTCTCAAGAATCGAAAATTGCACGCCACGCGTTGTCTTATATGATCTTAGCATAATGACTCGGTAGGTTTTGTTCCCTACCAAAAGA